CCCCCCCCCCCCCCCAGGGATCAAACCTGCAATCCAGGTATGTGCCCTAACCCAAATGGAACCCGAAACCTTTTGGTGTACAGGAAACACTCCAACCAACTGAGCCACCCAGCCAGGGCTCTGCTCATCTTTTTGAGGCACCTGCTTCCAATGTGAATTTTTGAAGCTTTTTAGGATGTTTAAATTAAGACGAACCATCTCTAACATGCCCTCCAAATCTGGCAACATACTTGTGAGCCAACTGAATAAGATGCCAACTGAAATGTAACTTTTGTTGTATATCAGTCAGATTGTAAAAATTGAACTTGATCAGTTACATGAAAAACTAAGTGTTACAGTTGCTGTAACAACCTGATTCAGAGTGTCAGCCCTGAAATTACAGATGATGAAATGGTTACCTCTGTGTGGAAGGAAGGCAGGGGTCAGGATAGGTGTCCTAAAACAGGTACTCTTTGAGTGAACCTTTAGCATTTTTTAGTTCATTGGTTTATAAAAATAACAAATTAACTACATGATGATTTATATACATAAATTAATAGGAAAAGAGGCCATGGAAGGAATGTTAACAAAGAATTTAAACATAAGTAAAGAATTTAAACATAAATGCTCAAAATTATCACTGCACAAATGAGCAACTACTTGCAACAGATGTTTTAAATCACAAAGAATTCTGGCTAGAAAGAACTAAAGAGAGCTTTAAGGATTGTAAGAAGATCAGATATAAGGACCAGCCATTACCTCAGTACTGAGCTAGAACACCCAAGGAAGAGCCCCTGCCCCTTGGAAGAACTGATTGAGACCTTGTTAGAAAGGGCATTGGCCATGGCTCATTAAATGGCAAGAAGTGACAGGAAATCTGTGCCAGTAGAACTTACTAGAAATCCACCCTCCAGAACTTGCTGGCACTTCAAGGGTGCTGAGGAACGCTATTCCTGGGAGGTTTCTCATGGAAGTTACAAAACTACCTGATAGGGTACTAGGGAAAATTGATGGCGGAAGCCGCCCTGATGCAGGAGTACACCAGAGAGCACATGGAGCCAGGAAGCACAACCCATTCCCCTTGCAGGGCCTTCTACCCGGAACGTTTATTTTCATGAAAACCATTTAAAGGCCCAACTCCTGCAGTGAAGGGTGAGTCTAGAGCTGAGTAGCAATACATTGATAGCTAGCCCAAGGTCTCTTGAGGTTGTAAGATCAACAAACTCATCAGTAACAGCAATACAGTAGAGTCTTCCCAGGCTCAAATGGCTTCACAGATGAATTCTACCAAATATTTAAAGAATTAATGCCCATTCCCCCTAAACTCTTCCAAAAAATAAAAAAGGGAACACATTCCAACTCATTCTATGAGGCCAGTATCCCTATATCACACCAAAGCTATCACAGGAAAAGAAAACTACAGGTCAATATCCCTTATGAATATCGACACAAAAATCCTCAACAAAGTACTAACAAACTGAATCCAGCAGCATATAAAAAGGATTACACACCATGACCAAATAGAATTTATCCCAGGAGTGCAAGGTCTTTTGAACACCTGAAATCAATTAGTGTAATATACCATATCAATAGCATAAAGGACAAAAACAACATGAACATCTCAATAAATGCAGAAAAAAAGGCATTTGAAAAGTCCAACCCCCTGTCAAGATAAAAACACTCAAACTAGACTAGAAAGGAACCCCATCAACCTATAAAGGGCATCTACAAAAAATCCACAGCTAACATCATACTTAATGGCAAAAGACTGAAAGGTTTACCCCTAAATTAGGAACAAGACAATGAAGTCTACTCCCTCCACCGCTACTCAACATTGTACTGGAGAGTCTATCCCAGGCTTGTCAGCAAGAAAAAGAAGTAAAAGGTGTCCAGATTGCAAAGGAAGTAAAACTATCCAGTGGAATTACTAGTAAACTGGTATTAATGCCCACTCTACAGAGCTGGTGTGAGGATTAAATGAGGTTACATATGTAAAGCTCCCAGATTGGTGTCTTGGGCCAAAGTGGATTCCCTCCTTCTCTGCCTCTCCCTACCCCCAAATAATAGGTCTCCTGAGGTTAGGACACCTCTTCTTTTCTTTTCCCCTCCTCTTTTCCTTGTCCAGCACCTGATGGGCCTCAGAGACCATTTCTTGAATTAATTCATTTGACACATTTCCTAAGCAACCATTGTATGTCAGACAGTCCTCTGGGGGTATAGTAGTGAACACGTTAGAAAAATGCCTAGACCTTCAAACAGTCTGGAGAGGGGGAAACAATGAACAACTAAACAAAATAAAAGAACAAGTTGACTGTAAATGGTGTTAAGTATCATGAAGAAAATAAAATAGGATGTTTGGTAGCGAGGGACTGGCAAGGAATGTGTAAGTGAATGGGTAGGTGAACAGGTGGGTGCACAACTCTGTTGCTAAAATATGGCTGAGCCTGTCTAGGTTCTTCTGAGCTGCTATCCAGGGCTGGCGGACAGGTCTCCTCTTTTTCTGCAGGCCAGCTCAGCAAAGCTGACAAGAAGCTAACTGTGCTTGTCCACAGTGACAGTACAGGGTGTACCTGAAGAACCCAGTGCTCTCTCACCAGGTTAGCATCCACTCTCCCTGTGCCAGTTTCAGGGCACCTTCAAACCTGAGAAAAGGAGAAAAGCCCATGCCACTCTGGAATGCAGGGAACACACACCCCCAGCTCATGCCATTGCTTGAGTTACCTTCCAGTCCCCATCACTGTACCCACCTGCTTCTGTGTTTGTATGTTTGGGACTAGGTGTTAGCTGAGCCCCTCTAGCTTTGTGCCAGACCTGGTCCTAGGTACTTGGCATACATTCTCTCACATGCACACAATTCCCCCTCTACATTGCACCTTATTATAACCCTTGAGGTTCAGAGCGGTAGCCTATCATGGGGCATACAATTGGAACGTAGAAAGTGGTGGAGCCCATTTTCAAAGCTTGCACGCTTTCTGCTACATTATACTGTTTGCATTTTCCAGCATGAATTTAATCTACCCACTAATTATTCCTAAATGGGCTCAAACCAGTTCTGTAGGTTTTCTTTTCTTTCTTGCTGCTGGCCCCAAGCCTGAGTCAGTTTGCCTCCCATTTTGGAACTGCCTCCATCTACTCTTTCCCACCAA